GGAGAGGATATTTACAAGATGGAGACATAAAAGAAAAAAGGGATTGGTCGATGTGAGGATCGGTCGAGTAGCCTATCTTGGAATTGCTTTCAACAGTCTTATGAAATGGCATGTCCTCGATATTAGTAATCACGTATCTCCACAATGGTATATGATATTGTCCACTTTGAGCATAAGCTCTCATGGCTTTGCTTCGGGCTTCCCCAAAAGACCTCGTACCAATGGAGATGTATTCTTTACTTATAAACTCATTATCATTTCCTAAATTAGCCAACGTAGGACAACAATCCTCAACACTCCGTCCACAAAGAAGAGCTAAGAAATGGAAGGAGTAAAAAGGGAACAACTAGTATAGGACTTGAACTCCTATACAATTAATCTTTCCACTGGAAATTAAATCACTGATAACCATAAAATTTGGAAGTATAGACTGTATGAAAATGTAAGACCATGATATTATGTATGGAGTTTAATACAAACAAATGCAAATGGAATAGGTTTTGCTCATTCGGGGACGTGGTTACGCAACCTTATACAGATGATTGAGTTTGTCTAATCTCTTGCAGGGCCAGTTTGAGATCATCTCTCTGTCAGGCCCCATTTTGCCCTTGGAGAACAATGAAACTGGAAGTAGAACAGGTGGTTTGAATGTGCTCCTGGCTGGGTCAGATGGACAGGTTCTTGGTGGTGGTGTTGCAGGAATGCTCATGGCAGGTTCTCAAGTACAGGTAACCCTTATCCCTCAGATCTTCCATCCGACGCCGTTTATAGGCATCGTGTACGTGTAGGATAAACAAAAACATACTTCACAAATCATTCTTTACAAATCTCTGATCGAATTCCATCCCCTCAGGTGATTGTGGGAAATTTTCTGGAGGATGATAAAAATTTCAACACCACAAGTATGCTGAATTCTGGATCGTCTTCTGCCCCATTACAAATGATGAACTTTGGTGGTGGTGGTGGTGGTGGTGATGCAGCATCGTCGTCATCAGCAGTAGCAGCAGCAGCAGCAGCCAGCCCTCGGTCGTTAGGGGCATCGAGCGGGGAGTCGTCTGCTGAAAATGGAGAGAGCCCTCTTAATAATAGGCATCCTGGAATGTTCAATAATAATAATAATAATACCAGCCAGCCGATGCACAATAATAATCAGATGTACCACCAATTATGGTCAGGCCAAACGCAGCAGTGAGGCTTTGTGTTTGCAACTAACAGTGAAGTGCTCATCGTTTTTGTGAATCTAACTTCCGCTCTTAATTACCAAAAGCATTTTAGATTAGGCTTTAAATTTATATTGCTATCTTTTCTTCTCACTTTCTGCAGCACCCAACCATAGGTTCAACCGATCAAAGACTTGCACTAGCCGAGTTTTGACCATGTTTTTTTGGTCGATAGCTAAAGTGAGCTTCGGGGATCGATCGATTGGTTGGAGATTTTGTTTAAAATTTCTGAAAATAAAGTTACTTGAGAATACGATGTCTTAAAATAGGATAATTAGATTTAGATTTGGTGTTGCACGAAAAAGGTTGATATAAGAATTTTATATAAATAAGGTATTTTTAACAATTTTATTACGTACATTGTTTATTTTAGATATTTATATATGATCTTAAAAAAATAATTTGAATATATATTTAAATAAATAAGGATTTCTTATAATTAAATTATTAGTTATAATAATATATATTTAAATAAATAATGATTTCTTATAATTAAATTATTAGTTATAATAATATATTTTTAAATAAATAATGATTTCTTATAATTGAATTATTGGTTATAATAATTTTGTATGCTAAAATCAATTGTTTAGTTGAGTTTATTCAAAATGAAATAAATTAAGAGGTCAAAATTTTATATAAATAAATAAATTTTTTTGTCAATTTTATATAAAAAAGAAATTTTTTTCAGACAAAAAAAAAATTATCAAAAAAAAAAAAAAAGCTAAAAGGAAACCCCTAAAACCACACCCAAACACAAATAATTGAAAAAAGAAAATAAGTTGAAAAGAGTTATTAAAAGAAAAATGGAAAAATGAAATGAAATAAAAATTTCGTCGACAGCAGGGTTCGAACCTGCGCGGGCGAAGCCCAACAGATTTCAAGTCTGTCTCCTTAACCACTCGGACATATCGACTTTTTTGTTTAATTTTAAAATTCTTATTTTATAACTAATATTTATATATTTTGAAAAATGGAAAAAAATTAAACTTCCGTCGACAGCAGGGTTCGAACCTGCGCGGGCGAAGCCCAATAGATTTCAAGTCTATCTCCTTAACCACTCGGACATATCGACTTTTTGTTATATTTGCAAAATTTTAATTTTATCATATACTGTATTCAATTTATTTTTCCAATAATTAATTAAGGCTTTTTAATTCACTCAGAATATTATTTTTATTATATTTTACCATTTTTAATTGGAAGGCACTAATCTCTTTCAACGACTTCCAAAATTTATAAGAACTATTTACTTCTAAATGTTGAAATCTCAAAATAGGGATTTTAAAAATAATAGGATATAATTTGTGTTATTATGAAGAAATATGATAGTTTTAACTCTTGCTATTAATGTCGTGTACCCTAGGTCTTATTGAGCTCTAGAGTGCTAAAAAAATTGATGATCCGAAAAATCCGATCAAACCAACCCAACCCAACTCATGTGGTTTAAGTTAACCCATATGGTTTAAGTTGGATAACGAACGAGATTGCTCAACTGAGTTCATATAAATGAAAACTTTATAAATTAGAGTTAGTTTATGGGTTCGTCTAAAACTAGATTGAGTTGAACCAAATAAACCCGAATTTATTATTATTATATATTATTTTTATTTAATTTTATAATTGTTTTGTTTATTCTCTTGTAGTTCTTTAAAATAATTTTTTTTAATTATTTGAAATATAATTTTAAAAAATATATATGGAAATTACATAGAAGTTTGAATGAAAATGTAAATAGGACACAATCTAAGAGCATGAAAATGGTATTAATATAAATATCCAATGAACATGTGTTACTTAATGTAACAAAGAGATGAAACTAGAAAGTTGTGTCAGGAGGGGGCGATAAGATGGAATGTAGAGGGACCTCCTTATGCACATTGTATGTTCATAAGCATAAAGATACTTCCCCAGAGACGATAAGTGCGGATGCGCACAAATATGACGATGACAATGTTCATGGGGAGCATGACACTATGGGGTTCTGCTGACCTTCGGAAGTCACTACAGATTAGCTTGACCAGAGGGTTTAAGGGGTGTGCGAGCCCCTGGGAATTCACACTCGCACGCGTGGATCATGTGTAGAGAAGTACTACACATCCAATTTGTCCGAAACTAGAAGCCACTACTAGAGAATAGAGATAGGTCCCAAGAGCATAATAGAGATAGGGCCACTTACTAAGTATTCTTTGAAATACTCAGGCGGTGTGTCACATAAATTTTTAGGTAAAGGCAAGGCGCACTTGTACGAAGGACGACAGTATCGCGAGCAGAGACTGTGGCACGTGCTCCTTGTAGACGCATATTGAAATTTCTAGTCTTAGGTTAGAATATGTTGTTTTGCATTTGATTGATTTAAATTATTTTGTATTTGTTTTTAATTTCTCTCTTTCGTATTTAAACACATAAGACCATGACTGTGTTTTCGAGAGGTAGAAGATGGTTTTAAATGCTTTCAACATTTATATTATGGATGATGTCTTCTTTTAAGAGTTAGCTTCCGCATTTTAGCAGAGCATGAGACGTTAGTAACGACTTTGAGTAAGTAGAAATTTAGGGTCGTTACACAACCCAACTCGTACGGCTTGGGTTGAATTATGAACTTATTTGGGTTTGGTTCAAATAAATAAAAAAAATTATAGATTGAGTTGGTTGATGGGTTCTCTTATAACTAGATTCAGTTCATTTAATCCGGGGGGCCAGAGCACCGTTGGGAAACCCACCCTAAGCAGGGTAGGGATTCCTCGATGAGACGGGGAATGTTTCTTACCCATTAGATAAATGGGGCTGGAGATACAATTATATTTTCTGTCCCATCCCTACCTAGTTCCTCGCCTTACTTAATATAAATAATTTTTTAACACATTAATATATATATAGTTTGCCAATGTATATAGCGCGAACTAACAAAAATCTCAATAATTGACCTAAACAACCTGAACTAACACAACCGAGAAAAACTAAGTTGTATCGAGTTCATTATCTAATAAAAATTGTTTGAATTGAAAAAATTGACAACCCGAACAATCGCATTGGATCTAAAAATGTCTCAAACGAACTCAACCTAACCCACCAACACCCCAAAAATTGATCTCAAAACTTAATCAAATGATTTACGAACAAAATTTTATAGAACGTGCAAACACCCTTGATCAAAACAAGGCATATGCCAATGAAATTAAAGGGTGACAAAACTTAATCAAATTCGTGAAAACCATAATATAAAACGAAAAAACCCTTAGTTTATGTTACAAACTTCTGGAAAAACCGAATAACATCAGTAGAATTGTTAGTAGTTGCTCTCGAGTAAATTTAGTAATGTAATTTATTTAAGAGAATTGTCACTGTTTTTAACTCAGTGTTTCCTATACTGTAAATACTCATCAGATGTATGCTCTATTAGAACAACAAAGAGAATTGAAAAACATAGTACTTAAGATTCTTCGGTTCCAAAAAATTCTCTCAAATTGTTCTTTCTATTTCAATTATTCGTTTCCGTGTTCTTCGATCAAGGGACATATAGATATTCGTTACATGTATGTTCTATTAACAGCAACAAAGAGAATTGAAAAACATACTACTTGATGTTCTTCTGTTCTAAGAAATTCTCTTCTCAAATTGTTCTTTCTGTTTCAATTATTTGTTTCGGTGTTCTTCGATCAACAACGGACATACCAACATCAAATTATATCTAAAGAAAAGAGAGAAATTGGAAGAAGTTGTAATGTTATTACAAATCTAAGCCCTTAAACCAAATTGTTTAAAGGATTCATTGGAGAATTTGTTCATCACCATACACAAATTAAGAAGTAAAAAAGATGAAGATTTTGATAATTAAACAACTACAACAATCCACAAAAGAGACATTATTAATTGAATCCCATGAAACCTTTTGAAAGTTCTTACCTTTAATTCGGAGTTTCCCATGAACAAGAACATTAATATTTCAGAATGGTAGCTGAATTTGATTCTGCATATTTACAGGCAAATTGAAGAACTGAAGCCCTGAAGATGGATCTGGAAATGGGTTATTGTTTCCGTGCGATGTCGGTGGTTGCATCTGAACCTGATCTTGTTCTTGTTCTTGTTCTTGTTCTTCGTCTTCCAGTGGCAATCTCTCATATGCTACATTCGTAAACGAAGCGGTGATCACCGTCACTGGCCCGGCTGCCATCAATTCTCCGACAACGTTACCACCGACCACTTGCCCTTGCCCACCAGCCAAGTATATGGTCAAACTGGTGGTGCCGGGAGGAGCCGGTGGCGGTAAGAAAGATCCAGTGAGCGATAATATCTCAAACCTACCTTGTAGGGTTAACACAGATCCCGCCGCGGTCGGTTGTCGTAAGTTGACATTCGTTACCATTCCGCTGCCACTCAAGATGCAGATCCCACGCTGACGGCGGCGAGCGTAGGAAGCGATGCTATCAAAGACGTCGCAGCCACCGCCGATCTCGAGAATATGAGCTCTTAGGGTATTTGCGCTTTCTCGAGTTATGATGACTGGTGGCTTTGGTTTGTTTTTGGAACCGGGTGGACGACCGCGTGGTCGGCGAGACGCCACCGTATCGGTGGCGAGATGATGAGATTCGGTGTCATGACACGATTGAGAATCGGGTGGAGGAGGCGGCGGCGGCTGGTGGTGGTGGTGGTGTTGGTGGTGGTTGAAATCAGGCCTTTGAAGTTGGTGAATATAGTGATTGCTTAAATCCAGGCCAGCCATGGATGGAGGGACTCAAAGCTTATTATAAGGATGAAAAAGAAAAGGAATTAAACAGAAAACTATGAATAATATTAAAAAAAAGGTGAAATTTTTATGAATTTAAAGAGCAATTTGAGATGGTACTGTTGGAGTTTGGAATTATAAATACATGAAAAGAAGAAGAAGAAGAAGAAGAAGAAGCCATTAGAGACAACCCAAGCTTTCTCTCTCCATGCCTCTCTCTCTCTCTAAGCTTAAAGTATATGGATTATAAAATAATAATAAGTTGACAAATTGTTGTTATTCTTCCTTTTTTTTCTTTTCCCTTTTGTTTGTGGCACAAGTTTAGATTCCGTGAGGTTAGAAATTTGAATCTTTCATCTGTTCGGGAAGGTTATATCATCGTTGTAATGACTCAAGTCTACTGCTAGCAGATATTGTCCTCTTTATGCTTTCCCTTCAGACCTATTAGCAGATATTGTCCTCTTTGGGATTTCCCTTGAGATTTTTAAAACGCGTCTAGTAGGGAGAGGTTTTCACACCATTGTAAAGAATGTTTCGTTCTACTCCTCAATCGACGTGGGATCTCACAGTTGTGATCGATTAAATTATTGTAACATTTCATGTCCTACTTTGACGTTTACCTGCTTCTTTACCACGTAACTACGTTACTCAATTGTCTTCAACTTTTTTTGAAGGTGAAGATTGTCCTCACAAATCAATACAAATCAATAATCTTTTGACTCACATGTTTTCTACGAAACTCTTAGATATTGAGCCGTATGTCATGACCATGCTTGTCCAAAACATGTTGCCTGTAGCGCGTGTGAATGTCACAGTCATGCTTGTATAGGGCAGATGTCACAGTCATGCTTGTATAAGGCATGTTGTCTGTGTAGCTGCTTGTTTGTGGTTGCACGTCTGTTCTATCTTTTCACTTACATGTTTCTTAAGAAAACTCTTAAATGTTGGGCCAGATGTCACAGTCATGCTTGTCCAAAGCATGTTGCCTGTAGCGTGTGCAAATGTTACGATCATACTTGTATAAGGTAAGTTGTTTGTGGCTGCACGCATATTCCAAAACCCTTTTTACTTACTTTCACATAACATCTATCAATTCGTAAGTATTCCTTAACCATCATATTTTCATGATCTCACATCGAGACGTAATTTTAGTTTATTCGATATATATTTTTTAATTAAAACTATAATTAAAAGAATCAACTAATTATCTACCTAGATTACCTTTAAATAGGTGGGGCAATTTCTCCTTTGAAGTTGTCTTAGGTTAAAAAAATAATTATTTAAAAGCTTAATATCTAATTTGTCACTCTATATATATATATATATAAAAAGTTAGAAGGGTAATATTTTTGCTTTTCTATAAAAAATAAATAAATAGAAAAAATAAAAAAAAATAAAAAGAAAGGGTTTATTCAAATTTTTATTTTTAAATATTTAATTAAGATTTATCATTCATATTTTTAAAAATTACGTTTAAATATTTAAAAATTATTTTTAAAAATATTTGGAGAATAATTATTAAATTAGATAAATAAAATAAAATAAATAAATAAATCTATATATATATATAATTGTATGGTAAATAAAAATAATTTAAAGCAAAATACTAATACTTTAATATTCTTTAAACGGGTAAGAATATTATTGAAACTTTTAAAATATTGTATTCTTATGATAAAATGAGATATTTTTATTAATTTAATCTGAATTTATTGGACGTAAACAAATTAGTTAACCAGGGTTTAGAACAAAATTGACCATGAGTTAAGGTTTTGTGCTAAGATTAGGGCAAACTTTTTATTTATTTATGTTTCTTTTGCTGTTTTTAAAATTAAAGAACAATGGAGGGCTGGAGTTGGGCGGGTGGGCTTCCACCTGCGGCGGCTGGGTCCCACTTTTGTCCCCTTTATCCGACCCTTGGACGGCCATTTTTATATCGAACGATTCGGTTAGGTTACGATGGGACTCACAAAATTTATATTTGTTGAGCTTTTATATAAATAATAATTTAACCTCGACTAAAGAAAAGCTACGAGAACTTACGTTCAAAGTGGACAATATCATATTATTGTGGAGAGTCGTATTCATCTAACACGACATTCTTCGGTTTTGAAAGGAAAGTCCACTAAATTTTTCTTCTTCTAGCGGGCAACAATACTAGGAGGAAGACGGTCAAATCTCACGTGTGGCAACTATTGAAATAAGCTCGAATGCATTAGGGTTTTCAAGCTCCATGCTCGTAAATTTTAACATGGGACCATTTTATTTTACTTCGAAATCTGCAGCAATTTGGTCGACATAACGTCTTGGTCTTTACAGTCGATAAATAAATTTGATCTTTGACCTAAACATAGCTCAACTAGCTAAAGACACAAATGTTTTGATCCACTGACGTAAACATATCCTCAATCACATATCGTTAATTAATTGTAATTTAATATATATTTTTATTTTTTTTATTTTATTCTCAATCTAATCCATTTGTTTATGAATGAGACAAAAGTTTAAAATAAATAATTAATGGGGTTCTAAATATGTTTATAAATTATGTTTAATGGATTATAATTATTATTTTTGTATGGAATAAGCCAATAATAGGGAGATTGATATATCCAACCACCCTAATTAGGGTTTGACCAACCAATATCCATTGCTTTTGGTTCAATTTTTATTGGTTTTTTCTTTTTTAATTTTTTTTTAAGAAAAAATCTCAAATTTGTAATCTATGTTTGGATTGGATATATATATATATATATATAGTTAGGTTAATAATCCGTGTTTGGTTGTGGGTTGGACGGGGTTGGACCAGATTGGGACATTTTTTTGGACATGACCTAATTTTCGTGTCCACCTAAATAATCCTTATTAAATGGTGAACCCAACCAAATCCAACCATAAATTTTTTGGGTTGGTTTAGTTCTTGGTCGGGTCATTTATTTAAATATTTATTTTTTTTAATGAAAGTAAAATCATTTTACGGGAAGATTCTTAATATATTTTATATATTTTTATTTGGCTCGAGTCAACTTAAAGGTTTTGTCCAACGAACTCGAAACAGAACCGATTCAGTTCGGGTTCAGAAAAATGAACCAAACCCTATCCAAAATGCTAATCCAACCCAACCAGGTTGGATTGGGTTGATCTTGGTTGTCGGGTTGAATGTACACCCCTAATAAAATGTTAATCCGTAAAATATCTATCTATTTATTTTCAAATATTTAATTAAAATTAGCAACTCAACTTCAATATATATTTGAAAATATATATTTCAAATAGTTAAAAATTTATTTTAAAGAGGTTAGAAAATAAGTAATAAAAAATTATTATAAAATAAAATAAACATATGTACAAAAATTTATATTTTAAAATTAACAATTAGTTCGGTTTCCTTTGGTTTAACCCAATTTAGTTTTAAGAGAACTCTTAAACTAACCCAGTGCTAACCCAGATCGTACGTGTTTAAATTAAGTTGGATTGGTCGGATTTTTTTAACACCTCTAGTAAATGTTGTTAATGACGGAAAAATTTTACACACATAATCTTGAGTCCAACTTAACGAGCAACGGATTAATGCATCAGCAATTTCCTTAAATACGTATAATCTCGAGTCGTTCCAAATAAGACCTTATTCATTCGAAAAAACCCCTAATTCATTTAGATCAAAAGGGCTTTTGATTATTTAAAAAATTAGGGTTTACAAAGAAGAAAGAATATTAGTCCAACTTTAAATTAAAATAAATAAATAAATAAATAAAAAGTTAGGTAATTATTAATTTAAATATATGTTTTTTTTTCTCACTTTGGCACAAATTCTTATTCAGATAAGATTTTCCTTTATAGAAACGAACATTATATTAAAAAATTAAAAAAAAAAAGTAATTATTAAATAAGCAATGGCTAGGGTTTTGCAGCTTGTCAAAATCTAATAATGTCTAGCTGAAGATTCAAGCAATAACTTAGTTCAATTATATTATTTTTATAATACTTCCTAAGATTGGTAAAATATATATAAATCTATGTATCCTCGTACTATATATTAATTTATAACCCAATGTTTCTTTTTTTAAAATATATATATATTTGTAATTTAATTTACATCGATTTTAAAATTGGTTGAGCATGGGACATGTTATACGAGATTTTTTGGAAAAACCAAAAGTAATGTCATGATTGGTTGTGTTCAAAGTGGATAATGTCGTACTATTGTGGAGATTTGTTGTTCGTATCAGAGTCATGTTCTTATCTTAATATAGTTATATCAATAGAATTCTTAATTGTTAAACGAAGAAGTTGTGAGCATTGTGAAGATCTGTCCTAGGGTAGGGTTTTGTTGGACTAGTAATATGTTCTAGAGAAGAAGTTGTGAGACTCGTGAAGATTCGTGCTAGAGTAAAGTTGTATTGGACTAGCAATGTGCTTGAGAGAAGTTGTGAGTCTCGTGAAGATTCGTATTAGGGTAGAGTTTTATTGGATTAGCAATGTGCTCTAGAGAAGAAGTTGTGGGTCTCGTGAAGATCCGTGCTAGAGTAAAGTTGTAGTGGACTAGCAATGTGCTCTAGAGAATAAGTTGTGAGCCTCGTGAAGATCCGTGCTAGAGTAAAGTTCTATTAGACTAACAATGTTGTCCAAAGAAGAAGTGTGAGCCTCGTGAAGATTCGTGCTAGTTAGGGTTTTGTTGGACTACCAACGTGCTCCAGAAAAGAAGTTGCGAGCCTCGTCAAGATTCATGCCAGAGTTCTATTGGAGGCCTCGTCTAGGGTCGGTTCAATGGTGTACGGAGGATTGTTGGACTTCCACATTAACGAGTTAAAAGGAAAATCACGAGTATATAAGTAAGAGACACTATCATTATTGGTTTCGTTGTCACTAATAATATATAGCATAGTACAGCTACCAGATCAGGTCATTTAAAAGAACAATAAGAACAATACTAGAGTAGGATAAGTCGAGCGTCCCATCATTTCTCATTCATAAACAAATTAAGTGTACTTTCGAGTAAAAGCGTTGTTATTCTTTTTTCTCTGTCTAATAAATTTACTTTTTAAATATTTTAATGACCTCGGTCAATACGTTTCCACAATTATTGTCATTTTTCACCGTTCCTCTCACCCACTTTAGGTATAGAAACAATTTTTTGTCTTTCATATAGTTTCGAATAATTGAAGTGAGAGACATACAACATGAATTTTATCGAGTAAAACGAATATATATATATATAA